AACTACACAGATATCAAAATCAAACTGCATCTGATACATGTGTAAATGACTGGTACCTCATATAAGGGAAATTCATGTTGATAAGAAATAAGTGGAAATTTTATTTACCAGCATTTGAATAATAAGAGTCTTACATACTGCATTTAACTTTTTATTGATTTCAATTGCTAGGATATTTCCTACCATTGATTGTGCATTTATTTGGCATGGCGATATGGTGTGGGAAAAATGATCCGATTATACAGACTGTTCTATAGCAAATGATAAAGTGTTTTTACGTGGAAACAAAAATATTTATCTCGCGAAATCACGTGACATTAAGTTTTACCAGTCAAACATTTCAATGATCAAATAACCATCGAATCCATGCAAAAATGCGGTAAATTAGCATTGAAAAACAATATATAATGTTTGCATACCTTTTTCCTTTGTTTGAAATATACAACTGTCAACCCGTCGTTTTTTTGTCCGCCAATACAATTGAATTTCAAATCCGATAAGTCGCAAATTCGAATTACTAAATTATTTACCTATATAAAATGAAGCCTTCAAAAATGATAACAACTTCATTGTAAATTATATAAACACTTCTTAGACTAATTCGAGGAGATAATATATTATTTAAACGAAAATAGAGCAAATATATTTCATACTGATCTGCGACTATCCGTTTACAGAGCGCCACCTATCGAATATCGTACGTTAGCCACCCACGTGATACTGTTGTTTTGATGGAGAAAATAAATATATAATGTTCCCTTTCTAAACTTAAACTTTAAATTCTCGCTGTTTATGCTTTCATTTATGTATATTTTGGTTTCATAAATTAAATTCACCAATTGTCAGATTACCGACCAAAACCCGACGTCGAATCGACGTCAAAATGAAACGTCTGTTAGACGTCGGGGATTCAACGTCGATTTGACGTTGTATGAAGGTCACCGACGTCGCGACCAAAATTCAACGTTGATCCAACGTTGGGTCAACGTCGGGTGTTTGCTGGGCTATATTTTCCTTGAATACCTAACTTGTTCAGATGTGTGTTGAGGAACATCAGTCATTGATAAAATAGAGGAAAAAAAACAACCCCTAAAGAAAGTCCAAAACGGCAAAATTGAAAATGTTGCAGGTTCCGTTTGATAAAGCCCAAATTAACACTGTCCCGGTACTGGCCACGGTATCGCTACTGTGTCTAAGCTGGTGAACCGAGGTGTTCCGTGGTGTTTTTCTGAGAAATCAAATTGCGTTTACACACAAGGTGTATTCCCGGTTCAGAACCCGATATAGCACCGGATATATACGATAAGCGCCGATGCTAAATCGGTGTATTCCCGCTTGATTCCGGTGGAAACCCGACTAGACACGGTTTCATCACGGTCCATCCCGACCATCGCCGTTTTTGCCACGGTAATGCTATTGGTGATGCCGGTTCTGTGCCGGTGACGCCCTGGGTATGCAGTTTATGAGAGTAAAACTGACTGACCACGTTGACATCAGTCATTTGGTAGACAGCAGAGATGCCATCCGAAGGAAAGGGGATGGAAGTTAGAAAAAAAACTGTGTCTACAACACCTTCAGAGGTTGAGGTACCTGAAGCTGAAAATGCACCAGCTGAAGAATTTTTCCTTCTCTCATTTAACAAATTGTCTATGCTCGTGTTCCTTCTCTAAACAAAATTATCCAAAGTAGCACTTTAAGTTTATATATTCCGGTTCTTTTATCGGCATGAGGTCGTTACACCACCGTCTATCATCGTTGTATAACCGTACTTGTCTGCAATATCCGGGACATTACCGGCTCCAACCGGAGCGTTGTTGCCAGTGACCTCAATGTACCCTGGCTCTACTGTAGCTCTGCCTGTTTTACCGTGGCAACATCGTGTCATCACCGGGACTTTGCCATTTGGACATTGACTGACACTCATCCCGGTTTACTACGATTTGTCACGGTATGGATGCAGTATAGATACCTTGGTTTCCCGGCAATTCCCTGTTCCAAGCCGATAGAACACGGATTTGGCCTTCCCCTCGGTGAGTGCCGGTGAGCCCTGGTTGTACTAAACATTTGAAGACAACCGTGGTGATATCTCAGTTTGTTCCGGTTCACCATGGTTTGTCCCTTTACCTCACGGAATTTCAACGACCCAACGCCGGTTAACCACGGTTGATCATGGTTGACTAAACCGTGGCAAACCGGGACACTCGCGACAATATCATAATACTTTTAAGATGTTGTCAATCAGGGTTATAAATGAAAAAAAGAGACAAAAGAAAAATACTTATTTATCGAGACTTGAATTTCAATTATATCTTTCTAGAGTACGCTTTCTAGCGTCAATATTATATTATTATAGCAGCTCAAATCCTCGATATTTAGGTTCATAAAAGAAAACAATTAAAACAAAAGATACTTTTTGTTAAATGGCAATTTACAGTAAAAAAAACTATGAAAGCGTTTTAAATTAAAATACTACTACTTTTAATCATGATTTTAACATGAATTTATATCTTGCGACATTTAACGGTAGTGTTGCGACATTTAACGGTAGCGGAAATTCGTGCGACATTTAACGTTAACATTGCGACATTTAACGGCAAATGATTTTGCGACATTTAGCGGCAGTTGCGACATTTAGCGGTATTGGTGCAACATTTAGCGGTAAGTGCGACATTTAGCGGCGTTGCGACATATAACGGCACCACACTGCATTTGTTCTTTAATTGTCTGCCGACGCCCTGTGCCTTCTTAACGACGTACACGTACCGACGGGAGAGAAATTATTAAAGTATCGCTAAGATTCGCCATGTTTAAGTATTCTGTTTTTCTAGTGCTTTCATTCGGGCAGTTAACCTATCGTTGAAGTGATCTTTTATTATTAAACACATTAATTACTTACCATTGCGAAAGTCCAGTTAAAAAATGGGTGACATGAAGGTAGAATGACGATTCGAATTTCTTGAAAAAGCTTTGAATTTCATGTGAATAAGTGGAAACTTGATCTCCAAAAATCACATGTTTTCTCCGATGCTCAATTTTGAGATCCTTATGGACCCCCGTTTAAATGTTTTAGCACTATTTTTCAGCCATACAGATCGAATTGGATCACAAAATTTTGTGAACTGTGGAACTGTAATTACTTTTCATTAAAAAAATTCAACTAACATTTACATATTCACTTCAATTTAGTACCACAAAACATCTATGCATATCAACAATTCTGTCAGCTACAGATTTCCTACAGTTACCGATCTACATGAGATTCTCTCAAACTTAAACAGAAGACATTATTGACCTGCCTCATTGCCTCTTTGGAAACAAACACTGATGATACTCAAAGTATGCATTCGTCATAATTATTAGTCAAATTACAGTCGAACTTACTAAAAATTGACAAGTATTCAGTAACTAGCTTCCACCTGTATATTGCACAAGTAATGTTGTCATTTTTGCAGAGCGAAAAAAAGCGTGCAAAGCGAGGTAATAACTGTTGAAATTTTTGAATCAGTAATACAGCGTTGTCTCCCTTGACTTATTTTGTACTCGACTGCCTGAAATAAATAATAAATAATAATAAAGAAACTCTGTTGACGATCAGTTTTCTTAAAAATTATCATTGTTTGTATAAAGGTTCACCTAAAATATTTGCTTAATTGGCACTTTATGGAACTGAAAAAAAAATGCTATATTGCATGCAAAATTTAAACAAAATTTATCGTACAGTTTACGAGTCATGGATACGTGTCTGAATAAAAGCTTGGCCATTAGAAGTGCTCTTTTAAAGAAATAAGGGAACTTTAAATAATCTAAAATATCATCATTTTTTCATATTGACATTAGAAGTGCTCTTTTAAAGAAATAAGGGAACTTTAAATAATCTAAAATATCATCATTTTTTTCATATTGATAATTGTTAAGAAACAAATAATAATATTCAGACATTAACAAACGACTGAAATAAAATAATTCTTCTCAAAATGGTTGAAATATGTGTAAAACTGTTACCCTATCCCACCATTAATTTTTTAAACACTTTTTTACCACTTTCCTGTTTAGAGTCCCTTATTTCAAAACTACCTTGAGGTACTGTCCTTAAAAAATTCAGAAGTTTGTTAAATTTTAATTAGTTTTACCGTGTAGCGTTAATTTTATGATATTTTGAAAATGTCGCACCTTAATAAAGAAAAAATATCTGTTACAGGTGGTAATATTTAGTACCAGGTTTTAAAGAACAGAAAAACAAAGAATTTATTTATTTTCCCTAGGACAAAAAAATGGTCCCAGATTTTCCATGTTTAAATTCTAAAATTTGGTGAAAATATTAAAGATTTGAAATTAAGGATACGAAAATATTTTTAATTGAAACATCTTCATAGATATGTTATCTAACATGATTTTACTTTAATCTGTTCGGGTCTTGTACAGTGGTAGGCTTGCCTTAGCTAGATCAAATAAGTAGGAAAAGAAAGCATTCTACATGAAGGCATGGTTAATCTTTTATACATAAATATAATACATCAAATCAATTTCAAATTAATGCCAATTAAAAACAAATAAATCACTGTACTGTTGCCTAATGTTCACGATTATTTTGTTTACAACATTTCACAGTCATGCGTAATTCTTTCACCAGTCATATATATATTTTTAAAGAGCTTAAATTGATTATTTATTAATTAAATCAGTCTGAATCTAAATGTAAACAATTAAGGAATATATATAAATTTCGCCAGCATGTGTTAAACGTGCAAATTTCCCGCCAAAAGTTGTCCTGCATCAGGTCGACGGATACATTAATCGATCGGTGGGTTACGTTTCTTTTTCAGCGGCGAGCCGATAAAATCTTTCTAGAAATTTTAAAATTGAATTGTATCCGATATAGAGCACCGATAAGTTAGGATCAAAGGACAAAATAAAACAAATACACTGTTCTTTACAAGCTTTGATTTACGTTACACAAAACAACGCGGGTTTTAAAATACCTTTATCAAAAATGGAATCGCCCATCGAAGCGTAGCGTACGCTTTTGACAGTTTAGTGTAGTGTATTGAAGGATATAGTATACATGTTTGTATGTGGAAAGTATTTCGCGTATATTCGTTGGGATTTTATGATTGAAAATGTATGAAATTGGATAGAAATGTCAAATATTCGTGTAGCCTTGAGGGTGCGTCCCCTGAACGAAAAGTAAGTTGCATTTATTGCACCATCTTTCGGACAATATAACATCTTTGGGCCATTTAAACTCATACCCTTTCTTCTGCTTCACATGTGATTACTCCTTTCATTCTATGCAAGTGGCTTCTTCCGGTGGTTTATCCTCATATAAAATAGCAGGAGATTGAATCATTAGTGATGGTTGTAATCAGTGATAATTATCTTTTAAAGCCATTTCTCATCAGTTTTGAATTATATTTTTAATTTAGCTTTATATTCAATAATTTGTAAGCATCTGTTTTAAAATATGATTTTGCAACAAATACATAAAAATTCTATCATAGTCATATGCATTTCAAAGTTATATTCATAGTTAGTTTATGTAGAATATGACAGCTTTCCCAAATTCTCATTTAAATACAACTGCCAGACTTTATGTGAATTTATTAATAATAAATAAGTTTAAATCGAAAAAATTTATTTTTTTTTAATTTTTTATGGGTTTTTTAATTTTTATTTACCTTTTAAAAATAAAGGGAGTTTTCTTTTCTTTTACCTTTTGTTTAAAATTGAAGGAAAAAAGGGAAGAAGCACACAAGTATGCAATATTCCCCATATTTAAATCCCGAGTAATGCAGTAAAGAATTTTACAATATTAGGGAAAAGAAGGTAAAATGCAAAAAAATTTTGACATATATATGATAAATGACATAATGCATGACATCAATTATCTACAGTGACAAGTTGATTGATAGTAACATTTAAAAGGAGCTGCATGATATTATATATTCTTAGGATGAGCTTCTTTTTGGATATCTATAATATAATTATGCAGATCTATTACTTATTGTATGTTATAATTAAGATGAAAATGATATACATATTAATATTGTATGTAAAAAATAACTTCCACAATCAACACTAGTACAAAATGACTGGTTCACTAACTATACACCCAGGAATTAAGTGGTCGTCATCGGAAATTGTCTTATAAGTGACTGCATATATAAAGGTCCTCAAAAATGATATTAAATTTTAATAGCAAAACAACAAGAACAACAAGAATAACAGAAAAACAATAAAAGTATTGTGCATTATTATACAACAATTTCAAAAAACCAATACAGTCTGAAGTATTAAAGAGTCCAGCATTATGTAGTTTCAATAGTTTGAAAATATATTATGTATACATAATATTCTTGCATGAGATGGGCTGCATGTTTTTTAATTTAAAGCAAAAGTATGATCCATAGATTCAATTTTAAATGAGATTTTGATTTGAAAATCTTGCATCGGTACAACGTTTTCAATTTTTTTTAACAAATGCATAAAGATTTACATTTTGTAGTTTGTACTAAATTTAAAGTAATATGAACTATTTTCAGAGAAAAGGACCAAGGCTCAAAAGAAATTGTGAGAGTAAACAAAAACTCTGTGAGAATTGAAAATGACAAGGTAAGTACTGGTATATGTGAAAGATCCAGTTATTGTTTTGGTCAGTAATGGATTTTTAAAACTACAGGTATGGAGCACGAGCTTCTAAAGATACTCGGCAAATGTGGGTTTTCCCATCGAATCCCAAGGTACATACTAACTTGGAAAATTTATCGACAATAACTGCATTATTGTGAAAGATCACTTAAGTGCACTATAAATCTGTGATATAAAAGTAAAAGTTTTTTTTGAACCCTGGGATAAGATTGGACAAACCCACATTTGCTGAGTTCCAGGTAACATCTATTGAGGTTTTAATTGTTAAATGTTGAACATCACCATTTAAAGACAAAATTATCATACTTATAAAACTTCAGAGGCCTCTGTGCTAAATGAGGCTGGAGGCTTCTGTGGTAATTGATGCTCATGGCCTCTGTGACAGTAGGGGCTCACACGTCGAATACAGCCTGAGAAATTTGAATTATTTCAGATGAAGTAATAAATTGCAAAGGATCAATAGACAGTTGGGAACTATACCAATTTCTGCTTTCCAAAGCCACTGTATGACATTAACCATGATATTATGATTTAAAACAAACAGCAAAAAAAACGTAATAAAACTAATTGCATTTAAGTAATTTTAACTGAATTTTGCATTAACTTTTAATATGAACTAAATTTAATCATAATTGTAAACAAAATTGTGTTGTTCAAATCAAAGTGAATCATGTAACAGTAAATAAAAAATGTGAGAATTTTTCTTTCAAAATGTAAATATCCTTTTTACACTGATTTTGAAGTATTCATTTCAAGCTTAAAAACTAAAAGTTTAGATATATAATAACAGAATACCATTTACACTGGCGAAAATTTTCTTTTTAAAATATTTTTAAATAACTTAAATGCCCTTTACTCTGGTGTTATGAAATTTTTGTTTTCACTGAAATTTTATACTTAGTCTGTTTTCATGAAAATATGATTTTAAAACCTGTGGAAAATATGAGTAAATATTTAATGTTGGGCTAAAGATAAATGCCTCAGATAGGATTGAATATTGGTGTGGGGTGAACTTTTAGTAATAACTCTTATAAGCTATCATAAAAACAGTTTATCATGAAAAATGTTTGTGCTAGAAGATAAAGAAATTTATTTTGACTGAGCAGGCATGTATTTAAGGTATTGATGTTTGAAAAGCGAGAAAAATTTAAAGGTCCGTCTTTTTAAGTTTTGAAGATCGTACTGGTCAAAGGTTAAAAATGAAATATTTGAGACCTTGGTGGAGTTAGGGCTTTAGATAATCTGACCATTGATACCAATACTGATATCCTGAAATTGGTTTAAACATTCTACCTTGGCTGCTAAATCTTGTAATCATTCCCCGCTTTCGATCTTGTCTTTGTATGAACTTTTTGTTGATGTGAGATTAGTCATTTTGATAAATTATGTAAAGGCATTTTGATATATGTAAGGGATTTTGATATGTAAAGGCATTTTGATATATAAAGGCATTTTGGTATGTTAAATCACTTTGGTATGTTAAGGCATTTTGATATATAAAGGCATTTTGAAATGTTAAGGCATTTTGGTATATTAAGGCATTTTGATATGTAAAGGCATTTTGATATATAAAGGCATAAATTTTGATATATAAAGACATTTTGATATTTGAATTAAGACATTTTGATATCATAATGCAATTTGATACCTGAATTAAGGCATTTTGATATGTTTAGTCAAAGGCATTTTGATATGTGAAATCTCAATGCAGTATAAATTTAGTTCGATTAAATAAAGAAATACGGTTACCTAAAACATTTTTTGTTAAATTATGCTTAATTTTTTTTATTTACATATATTCTTGACATATATTGCAAATTTATAAAAGAAAACACCAATAAAGTATTGGTATCTTAGTGTGTTAAACAAGTTGTTTCTTGTCATTAACATGATATGATAAAACTGTTGACATTTTTATTTGTCACATAATATGTTTTTTTATTGTGACCTTTCATTTAAGATGGTTATATTATAGGCAATGATCGCAAGCTTTTTAACTTGTAAACAACAGATAAAAAATGTTTAATTCAGAATATTTTTTTTTTGTATAATTATTTGCATCTCATTTTTTTGTTTTGCATAAATAGAAATTTTTAAGTGTCACAATTATTGTTAAACTATATAATGGTTCTAACTAACAGAGATTTTATGATAAACGTACCTCCTTTATGATATCTCCACCTTTTTTAACATAAGTGTGGTCAAATATAAAAAGAAGAAAAAGAAATCTGAGTTACCAAGACTGTAATAGCAGTTAATTATAAATCCAAAGTTATTAGAACAATTTTGCAAAAAAAAAAAATAACACTGATGGTTTTTCTAGTTTATATAATACAATAGAAAATAACAAAAAAAGTAAAAAACATCATTTTGACAATAATTTTTTTTTACTTGCCCCCTGCAGTCCCTCACCCCAACCCCACTAATAAGACTAATTGTTCCAAGTCAAATGCTGGTTTTAAGGTTCATTATACAAAATTCGGCATGTTCAATGTAGAGTATGGTATAATTAGTTTATTTTTTTGTTTAATTCATTTTTATTCTCACATAAAACATATAATTATGTAAATGCTGATCTAAATTGAAAGCAGAAACATTCTTTAGTTTTCATGTAATAATTAAAGGGAGGTAAATGAATTTTATGACAAAATAAGTAACAAGATATAAAAGAATTTTCTTGACTTTATTGTGTTAGAACACCTGGTTCCGATCACCAGGAATAAAACATAGTCTGTTGTGCCTAAGTGCTATGAATTCTCTATAGCATCTGTTACTGCAGTATAAGCCAGGCATATACCAACAGTTGTGGCTGTCAATGTTAAGCCATGATCAACAGCTCTGGTATGGAATAGTGTGTACCAAAAAAATCAGCCTGTCAAAATAGTATTGTTAATGAAATTATAATGTATATTCATTATTGGGCTCATTTAAGGCTTCTCTTGTCATTATAAAAATGGCAGTTTTCCAAGAGTTCCCCTTCAATTGCAGAGTTTGACAAATTACATACATACTGTTCTAGTCAGTGTTTAAGATTTACTCACATAATTATTGTAAACAGTGAAAAAAATCATTTTGGGTAAAGTTTACAGTTTCAGTATATCTTTTATCTACCTCAAAAGTGATAGCTTTGATGTTTACTGTTTACTTAAACCAATGAATCCCTAGCTTCTGCTTGATGATGGTGAAGATATGATGGCATTAATGGTCTCTGCTACCCCTTATTCAGAGGAACTATTATAGAGAACTTAGAGAAATGTGCAATTACTTTTGGAAAAAATACTTTAAATTGGTTATGTTCTTGTACAAAATTAAAGTACATTGTAATGTCTGCCCAATTAAGTAGCTAAATAGGGATAACATTGGATTTGTAATCCTTGGGTCACTTTGGGTAAGATTTTTTGGAGAGCTTGGAAATTGCTCTTGGGGTCATTTGTCCCTCAATACTGACTTGGAATATTTGTGTGATTAGTTAAGTCTGTCACTTGTGGAGCAATTGGTGCAAATAATTCCTGGATAGTTACCCAGCATAGCTGACAGTTAGGTTAGCCGTCTGCCAAGATGTGACAAAAACATGTTAAAAGGTGTGTAAAAACCAACCAAAGAAATAAACAACTTGCATTAAAATAAAAAACAAACAAATGTCATACATTTTAGGAATTTATTAGTCAGTCAGGTGTTTGGATATAAAATTTAAGATTCTAAATCAATGGCATAGTTTTAGGATTAGATCACGATTCTCCAAAATATTTGCATCCAAAACATAGAAGTTAAAAAGATATTTATTTGTATTTTAGTAGGCATTTACATTTATAGTTTGGCAAAAGTTCATTCATTGGAAATTTAATATTTTAAAGTTGAATAGCCTTTTCTTTTGTGGTGAATAATCTGGAATAATGCCAGTCTAAAAGTCACAAAATAACTAACAGCCCTACCCTAAATCTAACAATGACCAGATATGACTCACATCAATTCCTTTGTTATTAACTTGTAAATTTGAGCGCAAGTCCCAATAATTGCAGTATTTTGCTACCTATATTTAGTTATGCTAACCTGGATATTTTGTGTAGCTGGACCTGCCAGTATCAGGGGCATTGGCTTTCTGGTTAAGGTCTCCATCTCTCAACCAAGGGGTCATCAGATTTAAGCGATAAGCTCTGGTCACAACCATTTTATCTTGAAAGATATAAAACCAGTACTCGGGTTAGTTCCAGGAAATGGACTCTAACATGGTTCATATAAGATTCAAGCTTCCATCACATCTCAGCTAAAACATTAATCGAGGGTTGACCGCAAAACTGCAGTAATTTCTATGAAATAAAGGACTTACAACAGTTTTGCGATCAACCCTTAATTTTAAGCAAAATGAATGTTAAGTCATTTTCAATTTATTACAGTAAAACACTCTGGTTACTTGATTTTTTTGATTTACATTTTTATATAATTTTGGCATGACCGGGAACATAAAGTTCTATAATAGTTGCTGATAAGACAAAAAAAATGTTGCAAACTTTTTTCTTTACAGATATCAGTTATGTAATGTATGTAAACATCTTTGACCCAAAGTGGCAGAATTTTATTTATCAATATTAGAATTTTAATGAAGCTTGTTTAAGATGCAAATTGCGAAATTAAATTGTTGTATTATGTCAAAAAAAAAAAACATGCATATTTTATGTGGCGATTCAAAGGTCTGAATATTTCCCCCATAGCAGGAACATTAAATTTGCGTAAATTTTAAAATTCCCCTTTAAAAACAAAATAATTCCCGAAAAAAATTTTTCAATACTTTTATCCTTCTTTTGTAATATAAATATATTTTTAAAAATTTTTTAAATTTAACCCAGATCCAATTAAATTTGTATTTTAAAACTGTTGAAAATTTTTGGAACCCCCCAAACCCCTTTTAAACCCCTTTAAAATGATTTTTTTTTCTTCAAAATATTTTTGGTAACGAAAAAATGGGACATAAAGCCAAAAAACTGTTTTTAAAAAAATTACTTTAAAAAAGGGCTAACAAAAAAATTGAAATTTTAAACCCCCTGCTTTATAAATGAAGTTATCTTCAGTTATTTTCACCAGTGTTAAAATGAATTTGCACAAAATTTATTTACCTATTGAATACTTTAGTTTTGGTAAACATGCCATGTTTGTATTGATGTTTCATTTTAAATTATTATTGTTTGTTTGTGTTTAAAGCAGGTAAGGTATAATAAAATTGTTAGATTAGCTGGTACATGGGATATTTTGTTCAGAAATCAATAAGATTTGGTTTTCAAAATGTGTGTGTCTATAATCTATTAGATTGAAAATTCTTTTACAACAAGTTTGCCTAAAATAGTCAACATCTTGTTCCATAATTGGGCTTCATTTATGCCAGCTTCAGGTCCTTTCCCCCATCCCCCTGATATATTATTAGTCATCTGTATGGTCTATGATAAGTTGGTGGTTTTATCCATGACATTCCTGCAAGAAACCAGTGCCATCTTCATTCATTAGGAAAGCATGAGTCAAAGGTCTTAAGTATCAGTAACTGTGTGAATATTATTCTTAAACCAAATTACACAAATTCAATTTGACAATTTAGAATACGATTTAGATTTTAAGTAATGTCCTATATTTAAGCATTCAAGAGTTAATTTGATAATATGCCCAAAAAGCATAAGAAATCATTATGTAAAATTGAAATCTTGACATTTTGTAAATAAACAATAATTACTATGAGTGTTTCAGGTATTGGGTATTCCAGAGTTTGGGGACTCGCGCTCACGCATCAGAGAGTTCTTGTTTGATCACATCTATGACTGTATGCTGGGAGAGAATGCGCTGTCTTCTCAAGTTAAGGTGAGTACCGTATACAAGATAACAAGCTGCAGAAGACATGCTCAAAACTTATGTAGATTACATGTATATGTCTTGTTATATTTTAGAGAAGAATTTCGTCATGTCAGCCAATCAATTATACAGCATGGCAGAAAGAGTCAGGTCATGATCAAAAGTGCATGTCAAACTTGAATAAAATTATTTTATAATGTACAATTCAATTAATGCAGTCAGTTTCTCATTTCCAGAATGATGATTGTAATGTGGTAAAGTTTTTTTTTTCCCTAGAACTATTTTTTTCCTTTTCTGGTGTAATGAAAAATTAAAATTATTTCTTTGAAGCTTGTAATGATTTCTGAGGGATATAAAGGGATTAGGTGATTTAAGTGATGAAAGTTAAAAACAAATTTAAGTTTGACCACTTCTTATACAGTCATGTATGCCATGTATACTGGCTTATTTGGCTGGTGAGGTCAAAAAAGTCTATATATTTGTGTGTACTTTATTTATTGGGCCAAAAACTTGTGTAAATGTATTACATTGTTTGACTATTAAAATTGTCCTGTAAAGGAAATTGGTCATTTACAATATTGGTCATTTACAATATTGGTCAAGCAATATGGACTGTCCTTAAGAGTTAACGGTCAGTTACATGATATTTATTACGGTAATCTTAGATATCTGTGAAATTATTACAACATAATCCTATCTGTATTTTCATAATGATCACACCTGAGACTAATAGATTTATATGGAAATTGGATAAAATTGGTTATAACACCAACCCATGTGAAAGTGGGCTAGTAGATCAAGGCTTACTGACCGCTTTATGTACCATATTTGTTATTAAACTGATTTTACCAAGTTTCATTGTACATGGTACATAATTCGTTATTGAAAAAAAAGAAGTAAAGAAAAGAAAACAAGTCAAACCTTTGTTTCAGACCATCTTAAGTGTGAAGACCTCTCATATTGATAACCTGTAATATTATGTTTTTGATTGATACCAATTGCTCCTTAAAGGTTTTTATAAATGGAACAAATTACTACAGTCCATACACACTAAGTTGCCATATTCCGTACACCACTTACCAGCAATGGTGCATGTTGCCATATTCCATACATCAGATGTTGGCAGTGGTGTAAATTGCGATTTTTGATGCATCACAATGTTGACAATCATGCAAATTGCCCTATTTCAAGCATATCTGGTCATCAGTGGCTCAAGTTATTTACACTATTTCTTGCTGTAAGGAGCAAGTTGTGTTATTCCATCCGTTTCATGTCAACAATGGCGTAAGTTGCCATTTTCCATGCACCTCTGTCATCATTGGTTCAAATTGCACCTTCTTATGCATCACTTGTAAACAAAGGCCATGTTTTCCTTTTTCCTTAGAATGTTTTTATAAGCATGGTGGTTGACTGTATATGGTTAAATTAAAAATAACAAGTTATCAGTACTTGATTAGCCTTGAAATGTACTTTTTGTCGGACATCAGAATCTGTAAATGGAAAATTTTAGCTTTTTACCAGATAGTCCAAGTTTGCTTGAAATATTATTCATACTAAATTTATTTCTTTGAGCAAAGTGATTAAAGTGTTCCATTAAGGATCTTGTATAATATTCTTAGATATTCTCTGTAGACTGCATTTACATATTCTTTGAATGAATAGTTTCTGCAACCTATTTATTATTCTGTCATTATTGGTTAACATTAAATGTACATTTTCTGGTTTTATGGTAAATAACCATTAAGTACACTAAATGTATTCACAGTCTGGAATGTTCTTGGAAAATGCAAGATATTTGATATATGCACAAATATTACAATAAGGGTAAGCAATTAACAAATATTTGTCAAAGATTAAAACCAGTTGTTGTACATAAAAAGAGAATTTTATTCTGTGAGTTACTTACTTAGAAATAATTTTAAATTTTATGAAGAAGATATTTTACTTGAAAAAACAAAACAAAATCCCCTACCATTTATCAAGGGGATTAAAATGTAACATTATGATTTTCTGAGAATAAATACTTAGGTATAAAAGGTCCTTATATATAATATCTATACTTAGAAAATATTACTAATCCCTTTTCTTTGAACATGAAACCCCCTTTTGTTAAAATCTGTACAAGAGAATGAAATCCCCATGTACAATTTTCTATCTATAAATATTACATCAATTTTCACTATTTGCTACATGTTTTTGGACGTAACTTTTTGAATACTATTACCAATAGTTACAGACCAATACCATCAGCACAGAGCCAGGCTAACTGGCACATCCATGCAGCTTGATAAGATGCTTGATTGTAACTTTTTGATGTTAAAAACCCCTTAATATAAATAAAAATTGTCAGTTTCTAACTCAAAGAAGGACAAGTTTGTTACTGGTACTTAAATTTTGTAGTGTAAGGATTTAAGTAGAGTTTGTATTATTTCACCACTTGTATAATGGGTACTATCTGGTTTGTTATGAAAGAGTTATCTCAAAGTTATTACAATATGAACAGTGTTGAAGTAGTTTTCAAGTGGCGTCCCTGTGTAAGGCAGCACACATACCGGAGATAGTGTGAGTAGAACATCTGTAAAATTTGGTCATATCAGTACTAGATACTTGTTTTGGTCAAAGTTTCCCACTAATTTTCAAAGAGAAAGTACTGACTAGTGTATACAATTAGTATATAGTAATGATGTGTAAGCTGACAAGAGTCCACTGTTGGCTGCTCAGTTACAGTATCTGGATGTTCAAATCCCATTTAACTATTACCACACTAAATATTTTAAATGGACTTGCCCATCCTTCAATCTGGACAATACCATTCATTATATTTTGGGAAAATTTCATAACAAGTACATGTACTGACAGAATTTCAAACAGTGCAGACCATATAATGATCAGATGGCATGAATGTACCAGTAGATCTTGGCTGCACTGGTAGCATTGGTGGATTTTGTTCAGAAGCTGCTAATAGATTCAGGGTTGACAGCAGAGGACTGTTCGTAAATTTCAAAGTTCATTACAGAAATGCTGCAATGTGAAGGTAAAGAAAGGAAAAAGAAACTTCTAACAGCTTAGATATTAATAGTCAATAAATTGGTAATCATTATTTACAAAATATATGCACGCACTACAAAGGTAAGCTTTAATGGAAAGATTAAACGAGACTTACCTTCGTAGAGGGGAAGTTGAAGTTTGATCAATATTTTATCAACCACAAGCCTCTTTTGGGATCACACAGAGATCGCATAGCTGACAGCGAGCTTACTCATCAGTCTTTAGAGTGTATTTAGATCATATTGGTTATATGATCTAAATATGGTAAAATGGCAAAGAAGCAAAGACATGTAATATAAACTTGGGTTGGGTTGGGTGGGTGTGTGATCCCAAAAGAGGCTTGTGGTTGATAAAATATTGATCAAACTTCAACTTCCCCTCTACGAAGGTAAGTCTCGTTTAATCTTTCCATTTTATCAACCACATAGCCCCTTTTGTGGACCCCACAGAGATTTTAGAGTTGCTTCTTTACCATTTAAGGATAATTGAAAATAGCAATATAAGCTTTGAACTATTTTTTTTTTTTTTTTTTTTTTTTTTTTTTTTTTTGTAAGATACTGTACTAACTAATATAGAAACTGAAACTAACAAGCTGTTGTTAAACTGATACAATATTCACATGAACAAATACTAATTCTAAAGATAGACAAATAAGCAATTTTTATGAATTTTGTTGTCTGTTAAGTAAAGCTGTCTGTACTGTTCAATTGACAAGTCATTGTCTTTATCATAAACTTTGAAAATGTGGCTGAATTTTTCCATTCAGCAGTTTTCAAGAAACACTGCAAAGTTTTGCTGCGTCTAGTGCTATACACACCACATTTATATTAATGCCTGATTTTATCATAACATTCTAGTGCTATACACACCATATTTTGTATTAATGCCTGATTTTATCATAACATTCTAGTGCTATACACAGCATATTTTGTATTAATGCCTGATTTTATCATAACATTCTAGTGCTATACGCACCATATTTTGTATTAATGCCTGATTTTATCATAACATTCTAGTGCTATACACACCATATTTTGTATTAATGCCTGATTTTATCATAACATTCTAGTGCTATACACACCATATTTTGTATTAATGCCTGATTTTATCATAACATTCTAGTGCTATACACACCATATTTTGTATTAATGCCTGATTTTATCATAACATTCTAGTGCTATAGACACCATATTTTGTATTTATGCCTGATTTTATCATAACATTCTAGTGCTGTACACACCATATTTTGTATTAATGCCTGATTTTATCATAACATTCTAGTGCTATACCCAACACACCATATTTTGTATTAATGCCTGATTTTATCATAACATTCTAGTGCTATATACACCATATTTTGTATTAATGTCTGATTTTATTATAACATTCTGTACCCCGGTCTCTAGACACAGTTTGTTGTGATATTTTTTTATAAGGTTTCTGTGTGCTTATAAGCAATTTCTTTTCAGTCCTTACAGGAATTTTGTATGGTTTCCGATAATGCTGTTTGGTCTTTTATATACAAAATATTAAGTGCTGTACCTGGACTCTCAAATGAAAAAATGAAATTTTTTGTGCATATAAATAATTGATATTCTGTTAGAAGTTTACTATGATTTTCGAGCAACACATTTATGCCTTTGATTATAAATATTATAGGCATAATTTCTGATATCTTGCAATCAGTGTTTTGAAATTCCTGATCTGCGGTTAAAGGCCCAAGCCTAAACCTGTCGTTATTAATTGATATTAAATTAATTAAATTATATTATTTAATCTGAGACTTACACAAAAGAGGTATAAAAGGTTTCCATCATACATATCTAATAAGGATAGAATACCAGAAATCACATATATTAAAAACCTTTCAAACATCTCTCTTGCAATTAATGTGAAAGACAGTATAATTATATGTGAAGAACTCACATTAATAAACACATTGTCATGTACTTTATTTCTGT